TGGGAAATAAATGATTTTGCAAAGTACTGTCAGGGTTCCTACACATTTTCCATGACAAAATACCAAACTTTTCAAGATTTACAATTTGAATTTTTGGATAGATGGATAGATCGATGGATGGCAGGCAGTCAGGAAAGCAGGAAGGCAGCAAGGAAGGAAGGAAGGACATGATTGATATACTATTGTGAAAAATATATTTAAGCAAAGAGGGACCATTTCTTTGTCCAGCATTGTATGACTCAACCTGGTCTGAGACAGCAGCGTGGTTAATTTTAATTAGCCTGACAGATGAATAAACTCTGTTATTTAAGTCGTGAGCCATCCAAGGATTTCGCCCACTTACTTTCTGCTCAGTATGGGAGAGATCAGTTTTTGCTCTTGATGCAGCCAGCTGTCGCTTTCTTGACTTTATTTTTAGCCAAAGGCATTTGCGTCAGAGGTAAATGAAGGAAGAGTCATCCATGTTGTCTTCATACAGATGACCTTTACATTTTGATATCATTAGATAGTTATGCAGGAGGATGAATAAAAATTAAAACATTTTAGGACAAGAAAGACGCTGCATTGGTCACTCAAATGCATTTAACACACTTTGTCGTTCAGTACATAGTTCATGTCTTCTTACTTGTTCCCATTTTTGAATATGTATTATTCTAGATAAAAAATAAAGAAATGGACATTATTAAAGGTTTAAAACAATACTGAACCTAAAGGAATTGTTTGGATTTTTTCAAACCCCAATCCATCCATAACATAATATTTTACTGTAATGTCAACACAAATAATCAAGACTGTCAAAGTGACATAAATATTTTATATTCACTTGACACAAACCCTTGTGAAGTTGACATAATTTTTTGTGTTAATTCAACTATTTAGGATTTTACTTTAGTTTTACTATAAGATTTAAAGGTGAGATACCCTAATTAGTTTAAGACATTTAGCATATCTATAGTTGAATTGATTAACAAAAATGGTGTAATGATATGAACTGAATGTTTTTACATTCATGTGACAAGTAGTCTCTTTATTGTTAAAAAAAGGAAAATTTTATGTTCGCTGAACACAACAAAAACACATGATTACAGGTTTGAGTGTTATGCTGAACACAAAAATTATTTACTGTCTTAACATAAAACTGGCAGTTTTATGTGTATATTTTCCAACGTATTATTTTTAGTACACATAATGTATTCAAGATTTGTCCCAGTATTGTTAAATTTAATAGAAGCGTACAACTTCCATTTCTTTGTTTGTGTAACTTAAACTTTTTCAGTAGAAACAACCCATGTCTGCAGTGATATTAACATAAATGCGATTTAAACATGTAATGTTAAATGGCACATTTTGTAAGGCTCAATGGACACCATAGAATTTGTGCACCATATATAGATTATTTTAGTAGTTCCAATTCACAAAATAGAGAAAAATAGCAACAGTCTTTTGATAAATGACCAGAACATTCCTGTTCCCAAAAAAAATTTACATTTTTGTAGTAGTATCAGTGTAATTCATTTCACCTGACAGTGCTTATAATGTTATGGCTGGTTTTGTTTTTTGTAATATTTATAATAAAGGGAAATAGCATAAACGGTATGAAAAAATAGTTATCTTTTTAAAGGAAATTCACGCATTTTTCTGAAGTTCAATTTTCAGGCGGGCCCCAATAGGTAACAGAAGATTCTGATGGTTAGGGCGCTGATACTGCCACTGACAGCCAATCAAAACAAGCTGGACACCATTGTCTGCAATTCGGCAGTTAGGGCTCTTGAGCCAGTTAATGTTAGCAAGAAACACAAAATAAGGGCACGTGAACCATGTAACTTTAGCTTGAGAAACATGCGTGTAAAAAGAACAGATTATTCACAGATACTGTTGTCTGTATGAACATGTGTTGTGCAGTTTTTCATACCTGCTGAGAATTGCATACATGTCAGGAAGTGACGGATATGCTCAGAGAAGAGGCGGCTGCAACTTTCTGCAGGCCTAACATTACAATGTCTCCTCTGCTGAATAATGCATCCACCTTCTTTTTAGACACTTTTCTGTAGCCTGCACATTAATCACCACATATTTTTGTTGAATCTCAAGAAATGCTAATTCTACTCAGTGTAATAAAGTATTAATGACTCTAAACATTCACAAAAGATATAATGTTATTCAGAGGTGGACACAATTCTTGGTGGATATGCAAAACATGCTCCTATTATAACATTAGATTAAATACAAATAGCATTAAAGTTACACCTTTGATGTTTTTGTAACAATAAATGTTGTATTTTCGACTGTTTAAATAAAGGGTTGGTATTTTAGCTTTTTGTTGTCTTTTCCATGTTTTTCAGTACAGCAAACACAAAACGTCAGTTTGGACCCGGATTGCAGCTCGCTGGTGTCTACCACTGCCTCTTCAAGAAGATGACACAGAGGTCTTCTACACCTGTCATGTAGGCTAACATACTTGAGCAAGCAACCGTAGGATTAGCATTTATCTAAAAATGTATGAAAACCAAAACACTTTCTTGTACAAATTAGTGATAATGCAAAATGCAAATAAACCTCAAGTGGCAATGATTAGGATGTAAGCAAGTGAAAAATGTGACATTGATGCTGACTTTGAGTATATTATTAAATATTGTTTTGATGTTTGAAGCAACATGGCGGAAAAGAAAATGTGCACACTGCACAAATGATAGCAAGATATTGAATATCACTGCAGACTAACCCTTTATAAAAATCCTTTGAAACACTAAATCTATCATCTGGAGAATGTTTGTTGATCTTTGTAGTATTAACAAGGACTTGAGTAGATCTAGATGTTGTTTCATTTATTTCTGAAAATTATTGACTGAGTGATCAATTGATCATAAGATGCTCTAAGAAAACTTCTGTCACATCAGTGGATGTGCTGAAAGCATTCCAACTCTCTTATTGAAGATTGAAATGTGAATAGTCTATAAATTTTGATTTTTTGTAATGAGCCACACACCAGCCTAACTGTATTTGAAGAGTTGGCAAAAATAGATTTTTCTAAAAGTCTTTTAGAACAGAAGATCGTTTCAAAAAAGACAAAGAATCCAGAGATTAAAAAGATCAAACAAGTTTTACTCTAAGTAAATTCATTTTTGAGATAATTGCAATATAGCTCCACCAAGAGTTCAATGAGTGTTGCTTTTGAAAAAAAATATATATTAAAACGGTTCTGGTATGGATTTATTTCATCACAACTATCACTAGAGTTTTTCACAAGGAGTTTGCATAATGCTGTCCTCATCTTCATGTTTGTGTCCTTTGGGTATTCTGATGCCTCCCACACTCAAAAACGTGTTTATTTGGCTTTCATTCTGACAGATTTTTTGTTATGGACACTCTATGGATATTTTAGTAACACAAAACGGTGAAATAATGTCTAGAACCAAAATATTTTTTATTCTGTGACAGACTTGTGACATAGCAAACACACAAATCAGAAGACCTATCCATTAGAGACTAAGATTTTTTAATCAAAGTGAATTGTGAATCTATAATATTTTTCAGGAGTTTCACACCAAGGTCATACCATTAAGAGATCTGCTGCCATTGTGTCCCATCATTGGTGACAGTGAGGATGTAAACATGGTGTCAATCCATCCTCAAGAACTCCAGGTCTTTTCCAGGTGCAGGTTATTTTGCAAGGGACTAAATACTGGCCTGATGCACTCATGTATTTGTATGGCTTGCTTTATGTCATCCAGGATATGTACCCAAAAGCAATGACCTACACGTTTGAGTTTATTCAAAAGGTCCTTCTGAATGTGGATGGCGAAAAACTCAGACAAAAGACACTGTCTTTAAAAAATAAGAGGTCTGTTAAGCTTCTGAGTCACCCAGCTTCTGAGTCACCCATGTCATGGGTATCCAAAAAAATTTCAATCGAGGGCAACTGGACAGGTTAAGGTTTCTTTAAGATGTTTAAAGACAACACACCTCCTCCTCTGTTGAGTGAAAGGTGTTCACTGCGGGTGAAGATGGTGTCTTTGAAACCTTAAACCAACTATCCTCCCTGTCTAAGGTCTGGACCTTGTGGCTTTCAGAGAAGTGTCATTTGTTTTCCAGATGAAAGTAAACTGCTGAGTCTTGTCCTGAGGAGTTTGCTCCTCTGTGCTGGGCCATGCGTTTATTTGTATATTTGGGAAATGTAACAAAGCAAGAAACACATGGCCCACTTATCCCCCATTCAAGAACACAATCCTCTCATTTTTCCAAAGAAACTCTTAGAAACACTGGGAAGCAGCTGTTTCTAATAATTCTGTTTAGTCACATCAATGTAATTGTGTTGAAGAGATATTAATACATTATTATATAACAACTATATAACAAAAGTTTGTGTTATGTGTACTAGATATTCCCACATAAATGAAACAGAATTCAATGTTATTAAAACAAACTATATTTTGTCATCTGAAGAAATTGTGAGGTCACATTAATTTGTGTCAGTTATAATAACTTTCATGTTACAGTACTGAAAAGTTTTGTGTGCAACCTGTTTCCAAATAAATGTTGAGTAGAGTGAGCCAATTTGAATTTAGCTGAACAATGAAAAATGTTGTGTTCATTTTAACAAAAAACAACAATTTATGTACATAAAATATAATTTTGTTTGTGTTCAATAAACATAGAATGAAACGCTTCTAATTTTTTTGTCATATGAACTAAAAGTACTAGTTGATATGACAGAGATGTAAATGTTTAAAAAACACAAATTTTTTTGTTGTGTAATTAAAAACAGTCAGTCATCTTCTATGCAGCTTATTCCATAGTGGGTTGCGGGGAAGATGGAGCCTACCTCCAGCAGTCTATGGGCGGGAGGCAGGGTACACCCTGGACAGGTCGCCAGTCCATTGCAGGGCAACAGAGAGACATACAGGACAAACAACCATGCACACGCTCATTCCCACCTAAGGGCTATTTAGAGAGACCATGTTTTGGGTAGGCCGCATGCATGGGGAGAACATGGAAACTCCATGCAGAAAGACCCAGGAATTGAACCCAGGACCTTCTTGCTGCAAAGCAACAGTGCTACCAACTGCACCACCGTGCAGCCCACATATTCAAAAACTGTTATGTTGCATCAACATAGATTCCCTGTCAGATAAGGGTCATGTGACATTTTTAATTTGTGTTTGGTGTACTCATAACTTTTATGTTGCTGTACTGCATTGTTCTGTGCAAGCTGTTTCCAAAAATATATTCAGTTGAGTAAGCGAATCGGGGTTTACAGTGTTGTCCCCTTACCTGCTATAAAACATGAGTTTGAAGAAAAACAGAAATCCTCAAAGAGGCAAAGCCCAAGAACTGGACAGACACCCCTTCCCCCTTTAAGCTGATTTTAGCAATTTAAACAATTCAAACTGAAAATGTTTAATTCGTAGTATAAAATGCTACGAATATTTTTGTAAAAGACCATTGTTAAGTTAGTTGCTGTTTTCTTTCTGAATGATGTCAGTGTTAACTGAAGTTATGCTGGTTGAGGCATTATCAATTCACCTCATCAGCAGCTTTTTAAATTAATTTAAAAAATACTTTATTCATCCCTACGAGAAATATTGTTGCAGTTCATTCTACAAAGGTTTCTTCAAAGAGCTTTTGTAGATGCTGATGGTTGTGGGCAGGAAGGATCTCCTGTACCGGTCTGTCTTACAGCAGATCTGAAGACACTCTGTTGTTGTACGACATTCTCATGAAAAGGATGCTCAGGGTTCTCCTTCTTTGCACAATGATCTCCACAGGAGTCCCCAGAACAGAGCCTGCCTTCTTTATTAGCTTGTTGAGCTTTTTCAAATCCCTGGCTCATGATGGCAGAAGAGATCACACTCTTCACTACAGACTTATAGAAGATATGCAGCATCTTGATCCAAACACCGAAGGACCTAAGCTTCCTCAAGAAGTACAGTCTGCTTTGCCCCTTCTTGTAGACGGCTTCACAGCTGCATCTCCACTCCAGTCTGTTGTCCAGATGAACAATAAGGTATTTATACTCCTCCACCACCTCCACATGATGGAAATAGTGATTGACATATTCTTGTTTCTCTTAAAATTTACAATCATCTCTGGTTTATTAACTTTCAAGGTGAAATGATTGTTTCCACACCATGCCACAAAGCGGTCCACCAACTCCCTGTACTCAGCTTCTTGTCCATCTCTGATCCACCCCATGATTGCAGTCAACCGAGTATTTCTGCAGATGACAGGAGTCTGTCTTGTACTGGAAGTTTGAGGTGTATAGAGTGAAAAGGAATGATGAGAGTACAGTCCCCTGTGGTGCTCTTGTGCTGCTGACTACCTGGTTAGACTCACAACCCTTCAGTCTCAACTGTGATCTGTTTGTCAGGTAGTCTTTGAACCAGGAGATTGAGGGCTCCACCTGAGTCTTCTGGAGGTTCTGACAAAACAAATCAGGTTGATATTAAATGCACTGGAGAAATACAGCAGATCTGAAGAAGCCTTTGACTAAACACACTGTTATTGTAAGACAGCCTCATAAAGAGGATGCTCAGGGTTCTCCATAATGTTCTTCATTTTGTGAAGAATTCTTCTTTGCACAATAATCTCCAGAGCTTCCAGAGGAGTCCCCAGAACAGAGCCTTCTATATGAGCTAAGTAACAGAGTTACTCCAACATCCTGCCACATTGAGTGGCACAGTGTCAGTCCACTTCAAGTCTGTCAAGAGAAGTAAACTTTTTGCTTTTATATCAGGATCTAATTTGTGCAACACCACCAAAAATTGTTCATATACCTCTCCAGGTCTCGTAGTTGTTTGGAAAGTATCCCAGCAGACTGACAGTTCACTAAATGTAATTGCGTAGCCTCAGGTAACGTAACTACAGTGTAACAACATAAAGCGTAATTGGCAGAGAAAATGACAACAACAGAAAGTGTATATATTTAATATCCAAGATTACAGCGTTCCCAGTGAGCATTTTTTAGAATTCCAAACATACATCCATCAGTCAGTCAAAACTGACTAGCACAAAAAGTGACATCAGCCACTTTCTAACTCAGGACTTATTGATTACTACAAAGCTTTACTACTTAAGCTATCCTCCAGAATGCCTGTCGCTGCATAAATGATAGGACAATGAAGCTCTATCCATATGTGCTATTAATTTTGTAAATCATATAAATTGTGGAGTACCACAAGGTTCAGTGCTTGGGCCAATTGTCTTTTGGATGGATGGATGGATGGATGGATGGATGGATGGATGGATGGATGGATGGATGGATGGATGGATGGATGGATGGATGGATGGATGGATGGATTTCTATTTGACCACTTTCACTCTCTCTGCTACATTCACATCCTACTCTCTAATTTTGTGTTATTTGTTGTTATTTCAGTTTTTAACTCTATGTTCTCACTCTGTTTTTTTCTCTTTTGGAAGCTGCATCTGGCCTGGCTCTGTGTTTAGCTGTGGCCCCTTCCTGGAGGGGGACATCGGACACGCTGGTGTTGTCAACAACTAATGCTCACCTTATACAGATGATACACTTGGCCCTGTCTTTCAGTGTTTAACCTTGTCTCTCCTAGACATAGCTACCGGCTGAGCTTCTACTGTGACTAACCTTATGTCCTCTCTTCCATACTGTAGACTTGAAAACTGGCTTCATCTGCTTAGTTGTCTTTCTCTTCTAGATGAAGCCTCTAAAGGAACTACAACCATTAATGTTTTACTTTTCTTTTCCATAGAAAGTACCCCTAGATCAGTGCTTCTGTGTTCTTTTTCTGTCTCTGCTCTGTTCTCTCAAACCCCAGTCAGTCGTGGCAGGTGGCCACTCACACGGAGCCTGGTTCTGCTGGAGGTTTCTTCCTGTTAAAAGGGAGTTTTCCTCTCCACTGTCACTACATGCATGCTCGGTGTGAGGGATTGCTGCAAAGTTAATACAAGTGACTGTCTACTGTCTCTGCATGCTCTTCCATGAGTGGTGGGAGTGGTGGCCTAGTGGTTAGAACAGGAGGTTTGCGTTCCGGAGGGGACACAAGCGGCTCGTATCCCACAGATTGCCACTCTGGGTCCCTGAGCAAGACCCTTAGCCCCAAAATGCTGCCCGGGCACCGCATAATGGCAGCCCACTACTCCCTATAAGGGATGGGTTAAATGCAGAGGACAAATTTTGTTGTAATGTACATCTGCAATGACCAATAAAGATGATTTAAAAAATAAAAATAAAAAAAAATGAGGAGTGAATGCTGCAAGTCTCTGACTCAATGCAATTTGCTGGTTTTCCTTAGATATAAAACTTTTTAACTAATTTGAATAATAAACTGAATCCAACTGTACTGTTTGATAATTATGATTAATTGAAATAAATGTACCCGACTTAAAATCTATATGATTTGATTGAATTGACTTTGTAAAGTGCCTTGAGACGACGGTTTGTGAATTGGGGCTATATAAATAAAACTGAATTGAATTGAATTTAGTATTGTAACATAAATGAAACTCTAATTTATCATCTGCCTTGGCTTCATTCTGTGAGTGCTGCATCCTCTCTTTGTCTATTACAACTGTACGGTGCTGTGTGTAATGGTGTTGGTTGGAAATTACTATTCTTGCTGCAATTTTCTTATGAAACATACTCAAATTTGTCTCTGACGATATCCAGAAAGCATTTTGCTCTCAGTGCACATCCTGTGCAGCTTGTCTGTAACTTAAAATGCACGTGTATTCCACTTTATTTAATCAATGTTTCAGCCTTCCTGTCCTCTACAAGCGCACTAATCTTGAAAAAGCCTGAGTGCTGGAACATTTAAATAAAGTGAAATACATAGATTGTCGCTGTATTTTCCTAGCACATAAAACCAATGACAGATGCCACCCGTGCCCTTTCAGGAAGGTTTTTCTGTTAACAGGTATTTCACGAAGCCACCAGAATACATGACAGAAACACACCAGATCTTGTAGAGTCCGCCATCAGTCTGCCCTAGAATTTACCGTCGATCAACACGATACATATTTGAGTGATGCTGGCAAAGCTTATACTTGTCACCATGGTAACAAGCTTTAAATGCAAGCCGAGGCTGATAATGCGACGGCTGATGGTTGAACATCAGATACACAGGAAGGTGGAGGTGCCAGATGTCATTTTCACATTCACTCTGCGTGTTTATAAACATGACAGCAGTAAATCACAAGAAGACATTTACAAACACAGGAGTTTCAGCAGTCATGTAGAAAATCTGTATATATATATATTGGTATGCAAGTTGTCATGGACTACTACTCAGTAGCAGCTACCTAATATATATATATTGGTATGCAAGTTGTCAGTGTTCATAATATGGACCGTTAAAATCTTTCAACAAAGTAGGTAATGTAAGACAATAGTTTTCATACGTACAATGCTTTTTCTTTTTTTTTCTTTTGAAAGGAATCTGATACAAAGAGGGAGGCATGTAAGTTTAGAGCAAATTGCAAGTGACATTACTGTCAGCTTGCCGTTCCAATCTCCTTGTCTTGACTTGTCTGTGTTGGTGTCTCTGTTCTCCATGCCAGGTGCAGGGAGACATCAGAGCTGTGTTGCAGTTTGTGGAGACCAGCCTGTCAGTCCTGCTCACCATGTGGGGACAGTTTGTCCCTCGGGTAGCTTCCCCTGAACTCGGGCATGGGCGAAGAGAGACACGGTGGCTGCTGTGAGTAGGGAAGGTCAGCGGAGTTCGGCAAAGAAAATAGTCCTAATGGAGTATTTATTTGGGCCAGAGAGCAACACACAAAGACAGCTCATCTAAAGGGCTTGAAGCTTGAGTGCATAAATTGAAATGATGTGGGACCAAACAGTTCCATTACTGCTGAATCCCTCCAGCTCTAACCTTCATAGTAATCCAGCATTATTTTATTCCTACTTCTGTTTCAAGCATGTTTAATTTTTGAACAAACCTTCATCAAGGATTAAAAGAACCTACATGTTTTCTCTAAGATTAATGTTCATCAGAGGTCCCCATTCGGTTAAGGATTTTCCTTTCGTGTTAAGCACTCTGAACTAACAGCAAAATTAATTCCACCTAAACCATCAACTTGGGTTTTAGACACCAGCCCAATCTG